GGCGCTTTGACTGGCAGCCAAGAAATTTTGGGCATATTGAAGTCACCACAAATGAGTAGACAGAAAGCTCAGTCTTATGGATGCTGATCTACTAAGGCCGATCATACAAAGCTCAAAATTTGGACACAAAATCTTGTGAGTTTCTCAATGTTTTATTTGTCTTACCCTGAATTTTTTTCTTTTTCTCTACATTTTTATACCCTCTCATATCTTCTGATTTGCTATTAGTCCTTACTTCTTTAAACCATTAGTTATTTTCATAGCAGTGTGATATACTATATGGCATCTAACCTATAAAAGACTTTTCAACTATCTGATTTGCTTGTAACATGTACCTAGTAGAAACAGTGTATTCCAACAATGTGCTTTAATTACAGCAGTATTCATACTTACCACAAACGTAAGAGAGCCTAACATCACAAAATGAGGGAGGGTGGCGTTACTGACCAGCAAACACCGTGGCGCTCGTTTCAAAAAGGGCAGTGATTTTTGTACTAGTTGTGATTATACTTGCTTTGGGTACTTATTGCACTAAAAAGCATTCTTGGTCTACTTTAACTAAGAGTACTTTGGTTAAAATTTGAAATTTTTTGCTTAATTTTGTCCTGAGTACCTGTTTTTAGTCCTTGACTAACTCTTGTGCTCACATTGTTATCGTTTTTTGTTTTTAAACCTCTTAAATCGAATTACAATGGTTGGTAAGACTCACAAATGTGGGCAACCAAATTGTTTGTTCTCCGTTGAGGAGGGGATGCAGTGTGACGATTGTAAAAAGTGGTACCACAAAATGTGTACGTGACTAAGTCCGACGGCTTACAAAAGATGCTCGAAGCCTAACTCGCATTGGCTTTGTATGTTCTGCTGTACGGATAAAAAGGTACTAATACAGGAGGCTATGGGCCTATTGGCTTTGGCCTGCAAGAAAAACGACGGCGGAAGCACTGATAACAGGAGCACTGACGATGAAGAATGTGGCAGTGTAGTAAGTGCTGCTACTGGACCCGTTAAACACTTGACCGCGGTTGACGGGAACGTGAAATCTCTGTTGACATTAACGAGGAATGAAGTGTCGCTTGATATTGACATCGGCAGTCATACACCTCTAGTCGAAATAGAAGATCCAGATAAAACTGTCACCGTTCCACATAGTCCAGGTGTGGCTGTTCTGAGTGGCGACAGATGGACTTCGGTAAGAAGGAAAAAAAATAAAAATAAAAAGGCTGTAGGCAAAACGCAGCTGGTCAGCAAGACATTGGAAGGGGTGTTATCAGAAGAAAAATCCTCACCGCGTGACAAGACAGATCTCTCTGCTAGATCAGTCATTTTTCATAAGATAAGAGAATCTTCGGATACTGAACCAAAGGCAAGATTTGAACATGATCTCAATCATATTAAGACATCATTAAGTAAACTACTCCCAGATACATTTTCAGGAGTTAGTATTTGTAAGCTTTATAGAATAGGAAAAAAGGTGGATTCCGAAAGTCCTCAGAAAAACCGCCTCCTAAAGGTTACATTCAATACGGTGGAAGAAAGGAACCTGATTCTAAGTAATTCACGTAAACTGATTGGATCCGGAATATATGTCCGTGAGGATCTCAGCCTAGCTGATCGTATTAAGAGAAGAGATGCAGAAGCGGAAATAAACGAGCATCGCCGAAATGGTGAAAGAAATCTCGCTCTTAAGGGTTTTCAGATTGTAAAAGTTCGGAGCAAAACGATCCTCAAGCCACTCTGGGTGGCAAGGGAAAGTTCTCCACAGACTTAAAAGTGTGCTACACAAATGCTCGCAGCCTACTAAATAAAATGGCGGAGCTGAAGTCAGTGGTGGATAAGGAAAAACCGGACGTTATCGCTGTCTCGGAAACTTGGTTAACGTCAGAAGTATTAGATAGTGAAATCCAGTTGACTGGTTTCATAACCAGTAGAGCTGATAGATTAAACCGAAGGGGAGGCGGGGTTATTGTGTACACGAAAAGTACCCTAACCATAAGATTAGCTGAAACAGTAGCACATGTTTCAGTGACATGTGAACTAGTGAGATGTAAGTTGAAATGCCGACGGCAAGATATTGAAGTAGTTGTAGTTTATCGCAGTCCAGAAAGTGTAGCAGATGATTTTCTCCTAAGTAAACTTAAGTCCTGGTGTAACAACGGTAAAAGCCTTGTATTAGGCGACTTTAATGCACCATATATAAACTGGGTAAACTTAGAAGTAGGGTCAGCCACATCGTCTTTCGACTCCAAACTGTTAGAAACCTCGATTGGACTAGCATTATTAGAACACATCAGAGATCCCACAAGATACGACTTAAGAAACTCGTCTTCTATTTTAGATTTAGTCTTCACGCACGCCGATGACGTTGGTCAAACGGCTTTCTTCCACCACTTGGGAGAAGTGACCATGCAGTCATCTTATTCAAATTCATGGTTGAGATTGCTTGTCAAACAATTGCGCCGGCCCGTCCTAACATATGGAAGGCAGATATGCAGACAATTAACTCCGCAGCATCGGCTGAGAACTGGGAAATTGATTCAAAGGCATCAGTACAAGAGGCATGGACTCGGGTGATCTTATCCGCAACGCAACCATGTAAACTTAATGTATCGGTCATCTGTGCGTTCAAGTAACCACAGATTTTGTCATTTCATAATGTCTTTTTAATTAAATAACTAGATTTTATAGCTAATTTTTATCTTTTTTTATTCGCCATGTTCGACTGCGTTACACTGCACGTCCATTGCATGCTGGGATGATATCTCAAGTCATAGCGAGTTTATTCACATAGTTGATTGTTTCCAGATAGACCGTCAGTGCATGATTTTACTGTAGAAAGGTTTATTGTACTATAAACTATGTTTTTATGAACAACTGCCTGTTGTCTTCAGTCGGAAAGCAATATATATTCTTTGTCTTCTGTTAGGTAAGTTCAACTGGCCTATATTTCGTGTTTTTGTTTTATCGTCTTAATTATCTCCATTTAACTACTTTAAGCAATATGCCTGTGCAAGTGAAACAATAACTATGACACTTGCTTAGTTTAGTATTCTTGGTTGTCGCATATATACGACAACTAAACTGAATTATAATTCAGTTTAGTTGAAAGAATTATGGTATACTTAAGTATAGTGCTTGAAGTCTGTAACGAAACAGATCAGTCTAGTAAGTAGAGTTGCCTGTTTCTAATGAGTATACTGATTCAGATCAGTCTGATTAAAAATAGAAAAAAATGCTTTTGGTACTGTTGCTGTCACACATTATAAGATAGCTTTAAGTACGTTTGGTGTTTATTTGTAGACAGTACGTCTAACACTGTTCATGTTTTAAAACCACTGTCACTAAACGATTTCCCCAGCAATAACATCGGTAGCAGGATAGCTAAGTGTGTGAGCTTTTATTTGCCCGTAGAAGAGCAGTATACAGTCTTAGAATATGAGTGTTCTGTATCTCAATTAAATACAGTTGGCTGTGGACAAATGTTAAGAATCTTCTTGACAACTAGGACTTTTAGTTCATCAAACACTAACTCTGCTTGTATGTCTCCCTGTTAAACTAGATGCAGATACATGGTAATACTTAAATGAGAGCAAAATAATAAAAGCATTGAGATACGGTATTAAGTCCATGTTATGCTTTGCACAAGTAATGGCTGACCTGACCTAATATTCATGAACTAAAGGTAAATCAAAACTGCATAAATTCTTTGCTAAAAAAACATGTAATTTAGTTATTTATCTATTCCACATTTCTGACTAAATTCATTACTATTTTCTCATTTAAAATGCAGCAGGAGTGAGTCTTCACAGGTCCTAAGAACTGTTTCGCCTTTAGAACTATGGCCCTATGGATCTGTTTACGGGAGACCCAACTAACAGCAGATTATAAAAATGATGCTGGATGTCCATTTTAATCTCACAACCACTTCCAGTACTTTTTGAGTTACTTCTTTTATCCTTTCGTTTGGAAAAAACAACAAAAACTGCAACTTTTAGACTGGAACTTGGTTTAAACCTGTTTCATATTCGATTCTTAATGAAAGTTCTCGAATAAATTTTTGAACCTAATGCCACTTTGTTTTACGTACTTAATCGTTGCAAGAAACTTGCGATAATCGAGCCTCTCATCACCTAATTCCTGTGTTCAGGCTTCCGTGACTAGTAGCAGGGGATCACGAAAACCTCCAAGCAGGAACCCAGGCATGTTAACAATAAAAGATCCAGTCGCCTCCTAAAGGACTCCTGGGAAGTCGCTTGGACTAGTTCGGCGGGCAGCGAATTCCAGCATTCGACAACTCTTAAGGAGTAGAAGTTGCGTCTACAGTCCATTCTGCTACGTCGTGTCTCTAGTTTCTGGGACTAAGCTCAAGTAGGTGTTTAAGAGAATGTCCAGAAGTGTTAAGAATACTGTAATTAAATAGGTCACCTCTAAGACGTCTATACTTTAATGAGTAGTGGTTAAGTGATTGGAGGCGCTCTTCATAAGGTGATCTGGTGCATATCTTCATCATTTTCTTGGGACACCTACAGGCTCGGGTCCTCTCACAACTTATTCTAGCCACCATGAGTTGCCACGAAAACTGATGGATGGACACGCGTTACTCATCCTAACCGTCCCTGTCTAGTCTCATAGCTTCTTATTCAAATGTCATATGATAAGTAAGTAATGCTTCTACCGACACTAATGGAACACGAGTAATTCAAAGGCACCCTGTATGGTACTTAACATCGGTCTACGCACTCACTTAGCTCTTTAGTGAGAATATTACTACAGTCCTGCTAAAAAAAACCATGAACCCCCCTACCACCATCAAAACAATAAATCTGTATTTGCTGCATACAGCAATTTTATTTTTCAGAAGATATAACAGTTAGAATTGGAGTAAAATAGCAATATACAGCGGATGCACGTGGTACATGTCTTCATCGATCAACTGAAATAGAGAATACGGATATTAGCTTAACATACTTATTTAGAAAGACTAGTGTTTACTTTTAACTTACTGCGTGAGAAAGTTATACTGGAACTGTGAATAATGTAGGGATCTAGTCTCCCAGGGCGTACGAAGCACTCAAACTGGAAGACAGTTGTCCCAAAATAATTCGAATATGAAGGTGAGAATTTGCAGGTACTTTTCATCGTAAGGGTGAACATATTAGGTACCGGCTGACGTCATACCGTAAAAAAACAGATTTGAGTGGTGAAATATGACCTATAAAACAGTTAGCTTAATAACAGTTAATTACCTTTTTACACCCTGATCATGACCCTTCGGCTTCCTTTTATGGCCGAAACAGCAAACATACACTACACACTGATAGCAGATTTCCGGCTTTTCAATATTAAGCTTGCTTTAGCGCACTACGTAGTGCGTACAACCCCTCCATTACTGCTATGTGGCATATTTTTTTCATAACAAGCCCTCTGCAATAGATTGGTAGCATCTGTGACTTCGTCTATGGTTGTCGGAAGCCTGAGTACTTTCGAAAACAATACTGACATCCCCTACGGCTAGGCACTAAGTATTAGTTTGAATCATTGGTGGGATATTGTTGTCCGCAATACTGACGAAAACTAGAAACCGGAAATTGTTTTCTTTCATTTTGCCGATAACATCATAAAGGACAGTTAGGAATGAACATGCGGACAGTTAGTCACGGGAGGCAGTAACAGTTATTTCCGCTAAGAAAAAACGAACTTCGGCTTTGGATATCTTGAAAACAAGTCAAAACAAAACCGATTTCCATTTTAAAACATAAGGCTAACCAGCTTGACTGAAGAAATACATTGACTAGAGTAGAAGCAGCAAAAACCCAAAAAACAATGCTGATCCGAAGTAAATTTCACATCAACATGTATAACATTACACTAACTGCGGCATCTTAGCACATTGAAACATTAATTACATAGCTACACAAAAGAAATAGCTAAAAGAAGCACAGAAAGAAGAAAGCCGGACGCCATTACGTACAAAGATGGCTGATATAATAATTCCCGCCACATTCTGATTGGTTGCTAAGCTGAAAAGCACATTTACGAAATTGAGTTGCGTTTAATTGCAGCCCATGGACTCTATTCAGGCAGTTATACAATCGGGTAACTCAACCATACATACCCTGGACTGTCCCAAAGAAAAAGAAGCACGGACATCCCTGGATAGGGCGGGACATTCGACGCTTACTAAGACAAAAGAAGAAATGCTGGGATGTTGCCATCCGCCTTGGCACAGCAGGTACGCTGGAACGTTACAGATCGATAAGAAACGAGTGTATAACAAAAATTCGGGAAGCGCAAAGAAAATTTGAAATGCAGCTGGCACAATCCGCACTCAAGCAGCCCAAGAGGATATTCTCGTACATAAACTACAGAACAAGGATTCATCATTGGATTCCCAACCTAATTAAAGTAGGAAGTGAATCTGAACTGATAGAGGAAGATCAGGAAAAAGCTGAGGTTATGGCTAACTATTTTGGGGCAGTTTTCACTCAGGAATCTCCTCTAGAGAAAGAACCAGACCCAATTACAGAGTCAACAAACCAGCTGCTCACCGTGGACTTCGACCAAAACGATGTGCTTAAGGCTCTTAGCACCCTAAATATGGAAAAGTCAACAGGACCAGATGAACTACACCCTAAAATCTTGAGACATATAGCCCAATATATCGCAGCCCCACTGACTGTGATATTCAAAATGTCACTTGACCAAGGTGTGTTACCTATGGACTGGAAGGACGCAATCGTCACTCCCATACATAAAACAGGTCCACGACAAGTTCCATCGAATTACAGACCCGTAAGCCTCACCAGTGTTGTAATTAAAATACTGGAAAGAATAATCAAACGGACCATAGCGGCATTTATGGAAACAAATAACTTGCTGAACATGGCACAACATGGTTTTAGAAAGGGTCTATCCTGTACAACGAACCTCCTTATAGCTAGGGAGCTCTGGATTAATGCGCTAGACAACGGAAACTCAGTGGATGTTGTCTACATAGACTTCAGTAAGGCTTTTGACAAGGTGCCAACTAATAGACTGCTATTGAAGTTGGCGAACCTTGGCATTGCCGGACCTCTTTTAAAATGGATTAAGGATTTTCTAGTAGGTCGTAGGCAAAAAATAAGAATAAATTCCAAGTGCTCCACCTGGAGACCAGTACTTAGTGGGGTACCTCAAGGTTCAGTCCTAGGTCCTTTACTTTTTATATTGTACGTTAATGATCTTACAAATATAGTACAGTCTCCAATGTTATTATACGCTGACGATGTAAAAATTTGGCGAGTAATAACTGGAGAAAAAGACGCATTTACTCTTCAGGCGGACTTAAATAATATGATAAACTGGTCTAAAGAGTGGCTGATGCCTGTCAACTCGGAAAAGTGTGTCTACATGCACTTAGGGGATTCAAAGGTTAATACATACAACATAGGGGATGTGTCATTGCCCGTAGTCCGGTCTCATAAGGATCTAGGGGTGACAGTGAGCAATGATCTTAAGACGACGGCCCATTGCCGGGAGGTCGCGGTTAAGGGGTTTCGAACCCTCTGGGCATTAAAAAGGACATTCACTAAGTTTGATACTACCATGTTCACCACATTATACACATCCTTAGTGAGAACTAAGTTAGAGAACTGTGTTCAGGCTGCAAGCCCCTGTTTAAAAGGTGACTCAGACATACTAGAAAAAGTGCAGAGGGCAGCTACGCGTGCAATTCCGGAACTCCGGGGTTTATCATATAAAGAGCGGCTTGAAAAACTGAACCTCTTTACTCTGTCCTATCGCAGACTAAGGGGAGATCTAATATTGATGTACAGAATATTGAGACATGATTTCGGACCTAACTTATTCTCTCTTTTTCTTCCCACTAGATCGGGACACCTCAGAGGACATAGCAGGCGAGTAGAAAAGCCAAGAACGAACAAAATACCCGTGGCATACAGGTTTTCACACCGAGTCATCAATACTTGGAACCTGCTGCCTGAAGCAGAGGTGTCCGCACCTTCAATTGACTCTTTCAAGAGAAGACTGGACACTCACAGAAGCATACTAGAAAAGGAATAACATAGGCTGTAGGCCTTCTGTCCTTACCACACAAATCTGAATCTGATAACTTCAATCCACCCATGTCTGTAGGGCAGAACAATTTGTTTAATTACGGCTCATTATGGTTTAGTGGGATGTCATGAACTTATGGTATTGATGCTGAAATACCTCTTTGAATCGTGTTACGAACGTTGAATTGGTTTCACTTTCTACCCAGTAATCCTATTACAAGCAAATTAGACAATTCACTAATATACGTAGTCTACTCAAGACCCTATGATACCTGAGAAAAAAATATAATACAGAAAAACGAAAGGGTCTCTAATAGCTTCGATAATAAAAGGAAGATAGCCAACTGTTTCTAGCACTATATTTTATAATCACACATAATCTTATACTCTCAGCTCTTTTCCGAATCGCCTCCATTTTCAGTTGTATGTCCACTCACACCTTGTTAACACTTATTTTCTTTAACCTATTAAAATGCTCTTTCTTAACAAATACCTTAATAAAGGAAAATTAGACTGAGTAATCATACCTTAAACATTCCTTCATGAATATTGGCTACTCTGCCTCTCGTCCCTTCTTCTACTTGCTCCCTCTTTCAGCCCCCTTGTGATATGGAACGAAAGATTTCATCCTGCATCATCCTCAAAGCCTTAGACATTCCAAAAGGACATAAGGTTGCGACATTTAGAAGCTCCCACCTTCAATGGACCTATATTTGACCATCAGTCGCACATTTGCAACGCAACTTTCATGATGTGCGCCAACTGTGGTACTGATTAAAACCATCTACATTCATATCTTATAAATTATCAACCCAGCTATGTAATTTACTGCAGTAAATATTGTATCGTTTGTATCAATTTGATCTTGCATGTAAACTGGCATGCCTCATGTAACAAACTGTTATTTGAGAATAAATTATTATTAAATGAGCTTGCCTGTGAATGAGAGGGATGATGCTAGTGTGAATACCTTCGATAATACTGTTATTTCATCTATTGATGCGTTAGGTTGACGATAAACACAGCCGAGCAGCAAGGTAACGGAATTCGACGGCTTTAATACAATTCACACCATATCGTTCTGTTTGTTTAGTTCAGGCATATCACATAGTAGTGAGTTTAGGCTAGAGTGAGCGTAAATAAGGCATCCTCCGCCTCGTCCATTCAATCTGTCGCTTCTATACAGGAAATAGTTATCAAAAGGTATACTTTGGTCGGAAATATTACTGTTAGTCCATGCTTCAGATATCATAATAACTGATGGTTGATATATGGATACAAACAGGGCTAAATCCGTCTTTTTGTTGCAGATCGACCAAGCGTTGATAAGACATATATTAAGCAAGTGGCCTACTAAGTTAAAATGGGTGAGGGTATCTCGGATAAAGTCGTCGTAACCTTCGCGGGTGTGAGATGGGTTTGAAATGAGGGATTGAATGTTCTTCATTAGTTCGGTATTTTGATAGCTAGACTTAGTGGGAGATGTATCAAATGAGCTAGTGAAGTTGATTGGGGAGTTTACCCAGGAGGATAGGGTGGGAGTACTCTGTGATGGAAACTGTACGTAGGAAACAAATTTATGGTTTGCATGTGGTTTGAAATAACATGGGCTATATGCTTCAACAGAGGTGTCATTAGGCGTCTTATTCCAAAAAAATCTTGTACAGGCCTACTGTGAAGTGTATGGTTATTTACAAAATAGTCTTGATGGTTAGACTCGTAGCCCCTGTTGTGGCTATTTAAGTTAGCGTGAGAGGGGTCTGCCACGCGTAACTGGGAGGAGTTGCAACTGTTGTTATACATGGGAACCGTCGTTATGTGATGGGTCGGTACTAATTGGTGTGAAAAGTTTTTTTTGAGTAATTACAGTTGCGATCCTGGGGAATGTAGGTAGGGTGTGGGGTGAGAAACCTATTATTACCATTCTTATTTATGGTTTTAGGCTTCAGGGGGTGATTTAGGTGGGCAGTTCTCTGGTAGTTTTCGTTAGTCTGCGTGTAAGAAGGCTTGCCACGCTGAAGCCCACCACCCATTTTGCAACTTGGAGGTGTTGAAGGCAAGTTATACGATAGCAGCAGGGAGAACCTGTTCACTGTTCTT